CTGCGTTTTGCCCTTACTCACCCAAACTTTTCAACAAGGCTACTTTATGTGAATGCGAGTTCCTTAGCAAGTATTTGTGAATCACTGGTGTTTTATATATGAGATGAGGACATGACTGCAGCCGGCAATGAGGCCCAAACCAGTACAGCCAGTGCAAGAAGGCTTTGGCTTTTTAATTTTACTTAACATTTTTATTTATCCATTATACTGAAGAGACCTTTTTGAAAGATATTGTTTTTTGTTTGTTTGTTTTGTTTTGTAATTTTGAGGTGTTCAGCTTTATTTTGGATTTAGAAAATAAACGTGATTGCTCTCCTCAAAAATAAACTCTTTCTTGTTTTTGTTTCATGCTCTCTGTGCCTTGCCCTGGACTTTTATGTCACTTCCTGTCTCCCGTGGTGTTTGTAGTCAGTTTGTAGTCCGTTTGTTCATTGATTCCCCTTGATTAGTCTCCCCAGGCGTGTCTTGTCTTGTTAAGCTTGTTATTCCCCCGTTGTGTATATATAGCCCTAGCTTTTCTTTAGCTCCTTGTGAGTTGTCGAATGTAATGGTTGTCTGTTTGCCAGTCATTCTGTTCTTTGTTCCCTTTGGTTTTTTCCTTATTGTTTGTTCTAGTTTTTCCATGAAATACCAGCACATAGATCCTTACCTCTTCCTGTTTTCCGCAGCTTCTCCACAACGTTACAGTTTTTCACTGGCATGTCTCTTTGACTAGTGCATCTTTGAGCCTATATTTAGTATAAGTAAAATACTTAAGTACTGTTAAAATCAGATACTCTAAGACTTTTACTCAAGTTGTTTTGGAATTGGTGACTTATAACGTGTAGTGGAGTAATTTTCACTGTAAGGTATCTGTACTTTTACTCAAGTATGGTTTTTAGGTACTCTTCACACCTCTGGATACAGTTGATGCTTTGACAGAAATTATAGTATGAAAGTGGAGGAAAACGATATCCAGTCCTTCTTCTGTTGCCTGTGCTCATTCAGCTATTTTGACCCCTGTCTTTCTTTCCTTCTTTCTCATAGGTGTAGAGGGTCAGTCTGTTGAGATCTGTAACACTGTAGATATAAGAGGCGAAACCAACCGTGAAATTGCAATGAGGATAACCTCAGATCTGAACAGCAAAGATCGATTCTTTACTGACCTCAATGGCTACCAGGTAGGTCCCAGACATCAGTATATTCTTTTTATTCTCTCCTTGACATACACATACACAATAAAGTTTATACTGTTTATATGCAAGTGTTGTATATGCTGGAGTTGGCTGTTGGCAGGGGGATCTGTGGATCTCTAACTGAACCGGCCCATATGTGAACTGACTTTACACTAAGCCAGAATGTGTTACTAAATCTGCCCACAAATTTCAGCCTCATGGTTTTGATGATATACTCAGAAGTTTTGAAAAAAATGTGTCAGTCTAACAAAACAATGATAATTAATAATAATATTTAATTTAAGTCTTTGATTTAAATTTAAATAAAGTTTTTCTAGTTCCTTTTTAAGGAAAGAAAGCGAAATAATATTGATTTGGAGGAAACACACATAAGTGCAATATATTATAATAAAAACATAGCGGGATGCGCAATGCTTTTGTGATTGGCCATAATACCTGCAGACTGCAGCCAATAGAAATGCTTCTCTATCGGTGCGTGTCCTGCTCACAGAACAGACACAGCAAGCAGACTGCTTCAAGTAAATTATCTAGGATGAATCGTGATTTTTGTAGAAAATATTAACATCTTACTTTAACAGATGCAATAACAGACAATGTTATATGGATAAAGCTGTATTAATTTAATTAATTAACCCTGGAGTATTTGTTCAGTGCTGAGTTATCCTCTCATTATAACAAAGTGTAGACACAATGTAAATAAGACTAATTGTGCAGTGTAGAGTTTAATTGATTATAACAAGTTTGTGAGATCGTCATGAACTGAGATGAGTGACAGCTTTTTAATAAGTATAAATAGTGTTTGCAAATGTGTTACTGATTTTATATCACAGTTCAATAAACAAGCAGTTAATATTAAGTGACTTACATTTTAGGAACTCTGTTTTAGCTGTATTTCGTTAGTGAAAATAGTTCCAAACAAAGTCACAGCTGAGCCGCTGGGCATCTCCAAGCAAACACAGCGCTGTTTTGGTTATGAATGAATTATTGAACGAATCTAGTGAGTCGATGATTCAATGTCCCATTCATTAAGTCACTTGCTCTGTTCCTGAATGAATCAGCTGATTGACCCACCTACTGATGGTTTTAGTTTCATTTTGAAATAATAGTTATTTGAATCATTTAGTATTTCTATATTCAAAACTTTATATTTAAACATTACACTCATCTTCCTCAAACAGTTTATAAATATACCTAAATGCCAATTTTGTGTTCTTCTGTGCGCCTCTGTAGTACAGAGATGAATTTTGTTGATACTGATTTCATTTGATTCTTCCCGATTGTGTCTTATTCTAATTCTGTTTATTTGTTTCATTACAGTTTTTAAAAAGGTTTATAATATAAATTTATGAATTTGACATTAAAGTTGACATTTAAAGGGGCATTTAAAACATTATTTTGTGTATTTGGTGTAATGAAATGCGTTTATGCCGTTTAAGGTTCAAAAAACACATTATTTTCCACATACTGTACATTATTGTTTCTCCTCTATGCCCCGCCTTTCTGAAACGCGTCGATTTTTACAAAGCTCATCGGTCTGAAAAGCGAGGTGGGTCTGCTTTTCTGGGGGTCTGTCCCCCCAGTGGGGACATAATTATGGATTATAATAACTTATACTGTCTTTTTACGCGTTGCATTGCATCGCGCCGCGTAAACATAAAACCATGTCTGCATTTTTGATCGGAGAAATTACAAACTACAAGCGCTACTCTACTCAAAACTCGCATTTGAATGATCAGTGGCAAATCCATAAAATATAAAAAAGTACTTACAGTCTGTGAGTCAGAACAGCCGGCATTGTAGTCTACTCTACCAGGATCAGGAAACAGTCCTCCATAAAATGTGCTGCACACATCTGAATATTTGGGTTGAACTGTTCTGGAACAGTGTTGTAAATACAACTTAACCACTGATTTCTAGTCGTGTCCTCTTTTGGAAGACCAAACAAAGTAGTTTCACTTTCACAACAAAACACGCACGGCGGGCTAGAGTAGAGGTCTGCGCAGGACTGTTTTTAGTCCCGCTCCCGCAAGGTTCTATTCCGCACCCACCCGCTCCCACTATATATTCACTCTTTGTTCACCCGCTGTCCGCTTGGAATAATTTTCTTCCCGACCCGACCGTTCCCGCTAAATTTAGATCTCGTTTCCAGAATCTCACATTTAAATTTCCGCTACTGAAAGAAAGAGAGATAGGATGACAACTAAAAGTGTAGTCTGATAGGTTGTACAAAAATAGCCTATTAGCTATTTTTATTCGATAGCGCATCCTCACTTTGCTCCATCCTTATTCTGCTCTGTCACTCATCGACAACCTGCCTGTTCTGTCTGAGGGCCGTATATTTACCACAGGTACAGCCTGCTCTAAGCATCATTATGCACATGCTGCGCACAGACCACGCAAATAAAACGTGTGAGGTTTAAAGCATGCGTGCAGCGCGTGCGTAACAGTCCTGAGTGCAAGCTGTACCGGTGGTCAATAAGAATAAAGCGCAGATATGCTGTTCTAAATGGACGTCGGGAACGGGATATTGTTAGACCGCCCGCTCCCGTTCAATTTACACCAGAGTTACCAACCGCTACCGTGTTTTATTCGGGAGAGACGCGGAAATGCAGACCTCTAGGCTAGAGTGAGTGGAGGTCGGAGGCCTAGAGTGAGCAGAGGCCGGCTTGAGTGAGCGGAGGCGGGCGGGCTTGAGAACGGCACGGCCGGCGGATTCACGACCAACCACATGTGACGACCCCGGGCTGGACTCAGCTTCGTCCACGGTGAAAGCCGATCTGGCGATCCACAGTGCGAAGTTGATGTATTTCCTCAGCGACCAGCACGGATCAGCTCTAGGCATGACGAAGCGGATATAGTCCTCTTTTGGAAGGCCAAACAAAGTAGTTTCGCTTTCACATCGAAACACACAGCGCCTTCACGACATGGCGGAGGCGGCGGCGGCAACAACAATACTACAGTGAGAATAAAAGTTACGCCTTCTTTCTTTGCGTGAACATTTAGGCGGCGTTATGCAAATCTTCCCACATTGTGATGTAGACGTGTGGGGGCGTGTTAGAACGAGCCGTTTTAGGTAGGCGTGGTTGACTCTTAACTTTTATAAAGAATATCTCTTTGGATTTGAGACTTTAGTCTTTGCAACTTTACAGATCTTCTTTATGCACCAAGAGAAAGGAAAAATTTAAATCGCATCATATGACCCCTTTAATAACAAGGTTAGAAAAAAATGCTATTACAAAAGTGCCCCTGCGAATCAAAATATTCATCAAAAATATCTTAATTTGTGTTCCGAAGATGAACAAAGGTCTTACGGGTTTGGAACGACATGAGGGTGAGTAATTAATGACAGCATTTTCATTTTTGGGTGAACTAACCCTTTAAGGAGTCAAATATCACCTCAAAATGGGAAGGTTAATTTTTGTCATTGATCAGAAGGTGCTCCTAAATTTATTAAATTATGATCACAAGTGCTCATTCTCCCTTGTTTATTGAACATAAGGGGTCATTAATGATGCTTACATTATCACATGTGCAAAATTCCTACACAGTGTATCTTTAATTTGGCCAGAATATTACAGGTAACTATCTCCAAGCAGAGATTCTGTTGAATGAATGTGTTTATACCCCACAAAATTACCCCGTCTTGATACCCAAGAAAACATGGTTCATAGGAAACATTAAATAAGTTTAATGCTATTATAGATTATAAAGGTTTTTATAATTAAAAACACCTGAAAGGTCATCTAAAATGACCCCCAACTCATCTCCAAGCTAGTGTTAGACTCTGTTCCTTGTTTTGTGTGTTTTGCTCCCCATGTGCCTTCCATGCCCTTATTTGGTCCTTCCTGTTCCTGTCCCCATTTAGTTATATTAGTTACTATACCTTGTTATTAGTTATCCTCCTCACCTGTCTGCCCCTCGTTATCTGCCCTATTTGAGTTCTAGCCCGTTCTGTTCTCTCTTGTCCGGAATTGTATATGTCTACCCTTGCTACGTGTGTTTTCCTTGTTCCCTGGAGGTGATTAAAATCTATGGGCCTGTTTACACCTGGTCATTTCATGCGTTTTCGCTGATCGGATATCTGTCTGATTTGTTAAAACGTTTCCATTTACACTTGGCCACATAAATGTGTCGTTGCAA